TAAATATATAAATATATAAATAAATGAATAAATATATATATATACATATATATATGTTATAAATAGGCTATTTTATGTGTAAAACGATAATTATTTAAATTATCCTTATTAAAAAGACCATAAAATAACCATGGTAAAAAAAAACTAAAGGCAAGTATGTACTGTACATAGCTGTCACTGATCCCCATCTCCTCTGCCCACGAACTATACAGACAAAAATTATAAATATATATATTATACATACACCCATTAGTTTTTAAGAAACATTAACCATTGTTGTACTAATTATTGTGAATTATAAATTATAATTATGAATTATTATTATCATTATTATTATGATTAATTATGAATTATTATTATTATTATTATTAATTATGAATTATTATTATTACCTATTATTATTACTATCATCATCATTATTATTATGATTATGAATTATTATTACAATGATTATAATATGCGAAAAAAATATAATTTTGTTTGATTGTTTTTTTTTTTTTTTAATTTAGAATATTATCCGCTTTTATCGTTAGCGGAAGTAGATCCTCACTTTTAACACGATCGGAGAGAGAAAGAAGAAAGAAAGAAAGAGTGTGTGAGATTATTATTCTTATTCTTCAAATTGGATTCTACCTCAATTTTACGGTAATATAAAGAATTGTGGTCGTGTATTCTTTTTTAGATTAAACTGAAAGACTAAAATGAGAAAAAAAAAATAAAAGGGAATCGCGACTCAAGAAAAATTACACAAATCGAAAATTAAACGAGAGAAAAAAATAAAATAGCGATTTTTGTTAGTCTGCAGCGACCTCATTCTGTGATAAACCATATAAAGAATATTATTTTAATTAAGATTCATTGTGTTTAAGAAAAAATGCGACGAACGAAAAAGTCCCTTTTTTTCTCTCCTTCCTTTTTTCAAAAAAAAATTTTTTTTTGCAATTTTTATTCGGTTTCTAGTTTTAAATTACTCACGATAATTTTTTCTATTTCAAAGAAAAGTAAGAGACCAAAAAAAAAGATTGAAATCTATTCGAATTTAGTCAACAATTTCGAAAAGAAAATCAATTTTTTTGAAATTCGGAAAAGATATTTAGAGAAAAGTGTCGTGAGAAACAAATTTTGTAACAAGCAAATTGAGAGTTAAAAAGAACGCTTTTTAGAGTAACTGGAATTATTTTTTTTCCTCTGATTTTATTTGGAAATTGTCGCTCTATCAGTAAAGGAAAGATGACGAAGATTAAAGGGGGCAAAGAATGATATAATGTTTAGAGATAGAGATTGATATTTTCAGTATATTATATTGTGATGTTAGGTTTTAAGCTGTGGACCTAAGTCGATGAGATAAGCTGAGGTCGCTGTAGTCGAAACTTTGGAAGAAAAAAAAAAGAAAACGCTAGCGTGAGGGATCACTTTCACATTTTTTTAGATCACCTAAAAAAACCTCTTTTAAGATCTTATTAATTATCTCCAAAAAAAGTTACAGCTACAACAAATACAATTAAATTAAAAAGTATCCGTAATAATATTGTCTTTGGATGATCAAAATGCAATGGAAATGTATATTGTGAACGGCAAGCTACAATGTAGTTTGTTCGTATTATCATGAACAAACAAGAACACTTGTGTAATAAAGTAGATATCCATAGACAATGCCCTAAGTTTTTAATTTTCCTTTAATTTTCCTTTCTCCGGTTAATTATTATTTCATTATTATCAGGTATTTAGCAGGCCTTGGATCGACTTGAAGACGGAAAAAAGTCACTTTAGTCGATTGAAGATTAAAAAACAAATACAATAGTCGGAAAAGTCGTTTATTTAATTCAGTGTTGACACACAAATTTTATTTTGTATTTCCCTGAACTTTCACTGACTTCTAAATTCAATTATTCAAAAATTAATTAATTTTGTTAAAAAAATATTCAAATAGGGTCATTTGGGGTAAATGTAAAGAAGGGGTAAATGTAAACAGTAGATGTTTCAGCTAAATTTACAAATTAAAAAATAAGTACGACGTCAATATTTTTACCTCAGCTCACCTACAACATGTTCTGAGTATTGCAAATATTTTATTTTGACAATTGGCAATGCCATAGTGTAAGTTATTTTTTAATGCAAAAAAGATTGAAAATCAAAATTTTACTGTTTCAGTATTTTGTCTCGCATTTGCATAAAAATAAATTTAAAAATCAAACAAAAATATGTAATTCTTCCTTATTAATGCCCTAACAAAAATTGACTTTGATTTTTGATTTTCGTCAATTTACTTAACAAATAATTAAGTGTTTACATTTACCCCAAGAATTCGAAAACTCGGGGTAAATGTAAACAGAACTTGAACTACATTTTAAAAGAAAATAATTGAATAAATTTGCTTCTATTTCACAATTTCATTAATTTGGCAATGTAAAATTACATAGAAAAGGCAATTAGGTCCTCTTTAAAAAAAAAAATTTGATCAAAAAAAAAAAAATTCTTTTTGAAAATTTGATCAATTTTTAAAAATATTTTTAGGTTCATCCGCCATTTTGAAAATTTAAAATTTGACTTCAAATTCGTATTCAGCGACCTCAAAAACCCCCGAGTAGCCAGATTCAAGCAAATTTGATCAATTTTTAAAAATATTATTTTTAGGTTCATCCGCCATATTGGATCCACCATTTTGAAATTTAAAAATTCAATTTTAGATCCTTATTCAGCAAAATAAAAAAAAACTTCTTTTTACCAAGTTGAATGAAAATCTATTAAAATTTGTTCAAGTTATTCAAGTTTTTACATTACTAGTTTTGTAATGGTTGATTGTTTATTTTATATGATACATTATCAGTCAACTGGTTATCAGTATCAGTCATCTACGAAGAATTTTTATCAGTTTTCCCATCCCTTAAAACAGTAGTATACTTGAAATAACTTGTTTCTTAAACTTCGCTTAACTACAGTGGTGTTTACATTTACCCCGAATTTTAGGAAAATTTCAAAATCTCGGGGTAAATGTAAACAGTCAGTTTTAGGCGGCTCAGGTGCATCAATATTTTTTTGTACCTCGTAAAATTTTTCTAGGGAAGTAAAGTAACAAGTTCATGCAAAAGAAATCCGTCCGTTTTACCTTTTAACAAAAAAAAACTAATGTTTTTCGTGAAAAATAGATATTCCGTTTACATTTACCCCAATTGACCCTACCTACTTATTTATTTTCACATGGGAATTTAAATAATTTTCAAAATTTCAAATTCAAACGTTCAGACAGTTAACTATTTTTAAAAGTTAAAATTGTAATCCTTCAAAAATTTCTAAATTCAGTTAGTCAAAAATTAAATAATTTTCTTAAATAAAAAATTTAAATACTTTTTTTTTACAAGGGAATTTAAATAATTTTTAAAATTTCAAATTCAAACATTCTGATAGTTACTATGCCTTAAAGTTAAAATTGTAATCTTTCAAAAATTTCTAAATTCAATTAGTCAAAAATTAAATAATTTCGTTAAATAAAAAATTTAAATACTTATTTATTTTTACACGAGAATTTAAATAATTTAAAAATTTTCAACTTCATACATTCTGAAAGTTAACTATTTTTAAAAATTAAAACACTAATCCTTTCAAAATTTTTTATTTACAACAACTTTCAACTACATTTTTTTTTAAATCAATAATTTTTAATAATTTTTCGAGACTCAAATTATTTAAATAAAAAATTTGAAATATTTATAAAATTGTAACTGCAATGATTCAAAATTTCTCTTTAAAGTTATTAAGGAGAATTATTGAAAATGTTTTGCAAAAAAAATACTGAAAATAATTTATTTTTAAAAAATTACAATAAAGAAATACATAAAATTAGTTTTTTGAAAATATTTTTAAATGGTAATTGTTGAAAGATAATAATTCATATAAAATTTGATATTTTTTAAAAATAATATTACAAAATTGAAAAATTTTCCAATAATTGATGCTTATAAATTTTTTTTATAAATAATTGAACTTTTTAGAACAGTTTTTGAAGAATATTAAAAAAAGCTAATCAATTTTTTGAAGAATTTTAATTAAAAGTTTTAAAAACGATTAAATCTCAAAAATTTTAATGATGAATATAAAAAAGTCGATTTTTCGAGAAGTTTAATTTACTATTTTTAAAGATAATTGAATTTAAAAAAATTTAAGAAATTAGTTTTTTTTCAAAATATTGTACTGTAATTTTTCTAAACTAATTGAATTTCTTCAAAAACATTTTGAAAAATTTGAAAAACTAATCGATTTTTTTAAGATATAGTTAAAAATTTTGAAAATGACTGATTTTTTCAAATTTTAATAATAATAATAAAAATTAGAATTTAATAAAAATTTGATTTTTAATAAAAATTTTATTTTTAATAAAAATTTTATTTTTAATAAAAATTTGATTTTTAATAAAAATTGTAATTTAATTAGTTTTTGCAAATATACTGAATTTTCGTAAATATGTAATTGGAAATATTGTAAATAATTAAATTTTAAAAAATTCTAAGAATTACTTTTTAAAAAAATATTTTCTTACATTTTTTTTAAAGCAATTTTCTTTAATTTTCATTTCCAAATTTCCTTTTATTTTCATTCTAGAAATTCTAATTCTAATTTTAGAAAGTAATTAAATTTTAGAAGAATTACATCTGCAATTTTTAAAAGTAATGAATTTTCATAAGGCTTGAAATGGAAATTTTAAAAAATTTTAACTTCTATGGAAAAGTATTTAAAATTTTATTTTTGAGTTTTTCTTTTGTTTTAAAGTCGGTCTGAGGCCTGAGTTCATAATAATTTGTAGTATAATTGACTATGAATTAAAAAGTAAATGAAAAAATGAACTATTAATTAAAAAGTAAATGTAAACATAAACTATTAATTGAATTAATTGAAAAGTAAATGAATCGTGAATTTCGAAAAGGGCTCAACTCTGAAAACAAGAAGAGCTATTTTCATATAATTTGATAGTGAAAATGACTTTTACGATTTTTAGAGTTGAGCCCTTTTCAAAATTCACGATTCAAATGTAAAAAATAGAATAAATTAAAAATCGCATTACTAACCTATTTAGAATCAAAATATTACTGTAGATTTTTAAATTTTAATATTTTCAAAAAAAATTTATTCAATTTCCACATCAACAATCGCGTCCTCGACAACAATTTGCTCCGAAATTGCAGCAACTTGCAACATTGGCAACGGATCTGGCGATGGATTAAACAAATTACTTGACGAATGTTCTTTAAGATATTCACCACCCTTTTCCTCGTATTCCTTGCGAGTGACCAAATAATCGGACAAATTGCCATTTAATCCAAAATCACGTGCACCGAACCAAGCATCTAAACTGGTGTTATTTGCAATATTCACTTGAAAATTAGATCCAAAGGGTCGAATTTCCTTTAATTCGCGTTTTAAGCGATCCAATAAACCGGGAAATGATGCTGGTCCACCGGTTAAAAAAATATTAGTTGCAAGTCTCATTTGGATTGCAGGTGAATAACGTTTCAAGACAAATTCAATTGTTTCTGCAATTCCAGCCTCGACTAATCCAATCATCGATGGTTGAAATAATAATTCCGGTGAACGTAGTCGTTCTATTCCAACATGTAACTGATGAGTTTCGCCGGGAACCATTGGCGTACTTGAACCAGCACCATCATATTCTGGATCATGATGACGTAAGACTTCCTCGAGCTCTATGAGTTTCTCTTGCTCGAGTTCAGAATCTGAATCGCCGCCTTCCTATTACGATTAGAAAAAAGAAAAAAGAAAAAGGAAAATTATTTATGAATTAAAGATAAGTTTGTGATGAAATAGAAATTCAGTGAAATGAAATTACAACTTACTCGATTAATAACTTTATAAACGTCCCAATCTTCATCGCGCATACCAAAATCATCGTCTCTCTTCTCCTTTCTAGCCAACTGACTAATAATTCTCATTCTCTCTTGCGCTGCTGCTGTTCTCCTCTTGGCCATATCTTGCCTTCGTTGCCGCTTCGCCATGCGTTTATCCAATATATCTTGTCTACAATTTTAAACAAATTTAAACAAAATGTGAGACTCTCCGCGACAAAATATTACTAGACAGTTTTAAGCTTTGGAATAAAAATGAAAAAAAAAAGTTATCACTTCTGGATACGAATTATTAAATATTTAAACACTCTTCATGAACAAAATATTCAATAAAATGTGTTTGATTTCAGAAAATAAATATCGAATCTTAACAGAGTTGCCACAAAAATTCATTTCATTCTTCCTTAACTTCCAGAAAGAACTTTGACTTTTTTTCTGAGCCTAAAGAATATTCTAATTCACTCTAAAAATAATTAAATGCGCAAACAAATGATTATTATTTTCCACAGGTATTAAGATTTTTAAAAAATTCAAATTTCAAATCCTTTGCAATTCAATAATTTTTAATAGTTGCTTTTATCAAAAATAATAAAAGTTGTCACTGTAACTTATCAAAAATTATTTTTAAGATTTCAATTCAATTATTTTCTAGAAGTTTTAACTAAAATTCTTCACTAATTCAATTATTTGTAATAATTTTTAAGAAAGTTTCTTAAGAATTTAATTATATATTTAAAGAAAAAAAAATTTTACCTAAAATATTTCTATCATCTTGTTTTTAATTCAATTTCATAAAATTTCAATAATTTGAAAAGTTTTCAATTAAACATATATTTAAAAATACAATTAATTTTAAAAAAAATTGAAAAAAATTTTTCAAAAAACTACCATCTTCAGAATTAAAAAAAAAAACTTTTGAAATTCAACTTTTCTAAAACTTCAATCTGAAACTTATTGAAATCCAATCTATATTAATAATTGTTCATTTAACATTCTAAAATATAAAAATAGTTACTTATTACTAAGTACTAATTAAAATTTAGAGAATAAGTTTTCTGGTAATATTATTGCAAAAAAAGTAAGTGAATTTCTGCGGAGAATTTAATTACTTATGGAAGTACCTAATTCAATTCTTTAGAAACTATTGAAAATAATTAAATTTCTGACAAGAATTTAATTAAAATTTCCAGAAACAATTGAATTTTTTTGAGAATATGGAAAATAATTGAATTTCTGACAAGAACTTAACTAAAATTTCCAAAAACAATTTAACTCTTTATAGAATATTGAAAATAATTGAATTTCTGCAAAAAATTTGATTAAAATTTCGAGAAATAATTAAATTCTTTAGAGAATATTGAAAATAATTTAATTTCTGCAAAGCATTTAATTAAAATTTTAAAAAATAATTGAATTCTTTCGAGAATATTAAAAATAAATGAATTTCTAATAAAAATTTAATTAAAACTTCCAGAAACAATTTAATTCCTTACAAAATATTGAAAATAATATTATTTTTGCGAAGAATTTGATTGAAAATTTGAGAGAAATTTGAATTCTTTAGAGAATATTGAGAATAATTGGATTGTTTTTGAAGAATTTTAATTAATAAAGTTGAATTTTTTATATTTTGAATCTAAAAGTTTTCAAATATTGAAGTTGATATTTGAAAATAAGAAATTTTGTAATTTAATAATAAAAATTAAATACTGCGATTGGCGCGTAGTATTTGATAGTTATTTATATTATTTACAAAAATTAAAAGTGCAACTTACATAAAATTTAATTATTTTTTGAATTTTAAATAAAATTATTCGCAAAAGTAATTTGTAAATAATAATTTTTCGATAGTTTTCCAAGAATTAAATTATTTAAAACAAATTAAATTTAAAATCTGTAGTTTAATTATTGTATAAAATAGAAAAAATGGAAAATTATATTAAATCTTTACAATATTTTTAAAGGCTATTAAACAACAGTACTTTAGATAAAATTGCGAAAAAATAAATATTTTTTTGCAACAAATTACCTCTTCTTCCTGACACCAGTAATCCATTCATCAAAATCCTGTTGATCTTTTGGCTGTAGGCTGGTTTTAATTTTTGGTTTCTCCTCAATTACCATGTTTTCCTCCTGTGAATTTGCAGCGACTATTTTTTGACGTGTTCTTTCAACTTTTGCCTGTAGATTGTTAATCATTTTCATTAATTCTGCTTCATTTGAGAGTGAATAAGATTTCAGTGCCTCCTCAAATTCATCCGTTTCACCTTCTTCCAGGAGATCCTGAACTGCCAACAATTGATTGAGTTGCTCCTCGTCTTCAGCGAGCTAAAAAAATAATTATACGAATGCTAATGAAATTCTATGAATTAAATTAATAAAATATTAAAAAAAAGTATTGATAAAAATAAAATAATATATTTATCATTAATACTTGCCCTTTCTTCCCGTTTTCTAGCATTAATTTCCATGAGTCGGCGAGCAAGTTCTCGCTTTCGCTCCTTTTGCTGTTCGACTGTCAAACCTGGAGTACTTGCAGGCGCCACGTATGGAAGTTGTACTCTCAAAATATTCATATCATAATAATCAGGATCTGACCAGTTGGCAATTTCCTCTTGATAATCTAGAGCAATCAAACAGTGATCGTGGATCAGTTCCTTAAAATAAATATTCTTAATTAGTATAAAGAAATAAATATTAATTTCTTTTAGAATAAATATTAATTTATGATAAGAGAATAATTATTCATTTACATACAACAATAAATTCTTTTCTTAAAATCGATGAATTTAATTTTGCTAATAAAAGGAAAATAAGAAACTTACTTCAGCACGACTGGGTGTAATCGCATTGACATGAACTGGATATTTCAATTGCAACAATCTGTGCATGTATGAAGTTAAATGGTAACCGCCAACGTTGATTCGTCGTGAATTGACAGCATCAACTTTCCCGTCTAATATCGGAATAATATGAGTAGTGTGATAACCGATACTAACAATTAGACCATCCGAGGGACAATTATTGTGATGATAGGAGAAAAGGCAGTCGACACCATAAGTTAGCGAAGGAATATTGTAACATTCAAAAAGAAGTTCAGCCATTACTAAAAAAGGAATCAAATTTTAATAAATTTACACTAAAAAACAACGTCCGTAAAGTTTTCAAAAACAGGGTTGCCAGAGAAATTTAATTTTGTTTTTCCCTGATTTCCAGACAAAATTTCGACTTTTTTCCTGATCCTAGAGAATATTCTGATTTACTCTAAAAATTGTTAGATATCTACTCAAAAAAATGTTCCATTACATTTATTTGCGAATTTCTTTAATTATAATATTATTCGAAAACATCTATAACTTCTTCTTAAAAATAAATATTTAATAATTATTATTTTTCCATAGGAATTAAGATTTTCAAAAAAAAATTCAAATTTAAATCTTTATGAAATTCAACAACTTATAAGAATATTATTATAAAACGTGAAGACATCGATAACTCCGAGTCTTCGACTCGGAGTGATTGATTGGTGTCTTCGTGTTTTATAATAATTTAAGTTTCCATAAAATTTGTCAAAAAAAAATTTAATTATTTACAAAAATTATAATAAAATCCTTCAGAAGAATTCAATTTTCAAATCCATTTGTTTACAATTCAGTTTTACAAAATTTTGCTTATTCGGAAATTCTTCAATTAAATATTTAAAAAGTAAACACTTGAAATAATTTTAAAATTTAATTTAATTTTTTGAATTAAATTTTTTCAAAAAAATTAATTCTACAGAATTATTAGTTAAAAGTATGAAAATTCAAATTTTCGAAAATTTTAATTTAAAACCTTTTCAAAATTCAATCATTTTTAAAAATTCATGCTATAATGCATTTAATATTCAATTATTATCTAAAATTTTAACTGAAATTCATTTTTAAATCAATTATTATTAGAAAATTCTACGAGAATTCAATTATTTAAATAATTGAATAAATAAATGATTTTCAAAATTGAATTCTCATAAAGAATTTTATCAACAAATTTTTAAATAATTCAATTTTTTCAACGAATTTTAATAAAATTTTCAAAAATAATTCAATTTTTCGAGGAATTCGATTAAAATTGTATAATAAATAATTGAAATTCTGTGATGAGTTTTATTATCCATGAAAATAATTGATTCTCTGTAAAAAAATTTTATTATTTATGAAAATAATTGAATTATTATGAAGAAATTTATAAAAAATTTGTAAATAGTTGAATTCCTGTGAAATTTTTTATTATTTATAAAAATAATTTAATGTTTGCTTAGAATTTTATCAACATTTTTTTAAAATAATTTTAATTTGAATTCTTTTGAAAAATTTTATTAAAATAGTAGATATTGAAAATCATTGATTTAAGGAAAATTTTTTGTAAATAATTGAAATTTTGCCAAGAATTTTATTAAAATTTTTGAAAATAATTGAATTTTACTAGTTTTAAAGATAATTGAAAATTTGACGAGAATTTCTAAAAAATTTTGAACATAATTGAATTTTTGCGAAGAATTTTATTACTTTTGAAAACAATTGAATAATTTCTGCAATCATTTGTTACTTCTCCAAAATTGAATTTTTTCCATCACTTTTAATAAAAATCCCTGACTTTTCTCTGATTTCCCTGATCTATGGCAACCCTGAAAGATATATAAAAATTTGAAGAGAAATTTCGTATTTTAAAATTGTTGATCAAACGTTGTGAAATCTATCAAAGTAAAAAACATTTAACTGGAAATATTTTTAGTTATACGATAATTCTGTTTCTCGAATACTAACAATTTCTAGAATAATTGGGATTTAGAAATGCTTCCGTCAAGATAATCGGATGATTTATAGAACCCTCAGTTTCGATGCCCAAATGAGTGAAAGTATAATCAAATATTTGTTCCTGTGCCTCGAAATGAGTGACGACATTGCGATCAAATTGCGTCTTTAATTGAAATCGAACAGCTTCAATGTTTGCAATATCATTGCCAACTTGTAATTCACCATCCTTTTTTCCTCGCTCTTTTCTTGGCTTTGCTATTAGATTTTTAAAAATCAAAAGCGGTGCTTTGTCCGTAGCCCATCCGACTCGACAGTTGTAAGAACCTGATTAATTTTTATGCTAATTAATTTCTACTCGAAGAAATGCAAAAACAAAATTAATCTCCAATATTTATATGTTTAATTAATATAATTTAAATTTACTTACTATTTTACTACTGTCTAAATTCAAGTACTATTTATTTATTTATTTACTATTGTTAAAAACTTAATTAATTTTGAGGTTATAATTCAAAAACCTACCGTTATCAATAATCAGAGGAGTTGATTCTTCTCTCACTTTTCCAGAATATGTGTGAATTACGTCCGCCACCGATTTTACATCCTTTAACTCGAGAATATCCATTTTTTAACACAATTTTTCGTTTTTTTAATACTTTCTGTCACATAACACTGGTAAACAATGTGAAGTCAGTCGCAAGTGACAGCAAGTGACGAACAGGGTTGGGTTGCAGTTAAACGAATTCGGTAAGTTCACGTATGAAAAAATACTTGTGCATAAAGGCGCTTGCACACTTCTAAATTTTTAGGCGAGCAGCGAATTTTCACGGCCTTGAAATGAACATTACTAAATATGATTGGCTCTGACAGAAGTTCATTTTTTCACGCAGCTTTTTGTAGAGCCAATCATATTTAGTAATGTGAGTTTCAAGGCCATGAAAATTCACTGCTCGCCCAAAATTTTGGAAGTGTGCAAGCGCCTTTAAGTTCATACATGACAAAAATGCAAAATTCCAACAAAAAATGGCTTACAAAATTTTAATAAATTTTCTTCTGGAGTACCTACTAATAAGAAAAAATATCCTAAAAGAATTAATATTATTGTTTAAATCTACATTGTTTAACTACAGTTATCTTTTTTATTTTTGCAAGAAAACTAGTGTTCTACTTTCGCCATACTTATCTAACAAGAAAAGTACTCTTTTCAGAGCAAGCGTTGGAGAAAATTCATTTTTAAACTAGGTATATAGTGTAATGGAAAATTATTCTTATTATTCTTTATCGAAAGCTATTTTTTAAAATAAAATAAATAAAGAATAATTTTCCATACACTATGGTTCAAAAATGAATTTTTAAAAAGTTATGGTTGAAAAACTGATTTCGTCGATTTCGTCCCATTGACTTCAATGCATTGTTTGTAAGCATCCATCTTGGATTTCCCCCCACCCAACTTGAATTGCCTTATATTATGATTTTCTTTTATTTGTAAAAAACAAAATAAAAGAATGTCAAAATTTCATGCTATTTGCAAATTTTCATAATAAAAAAAATAATAGTAAAATTAAAAAAGAAACTAAAAAATTTACAGTTTTTTTTAACAAAAATAGTAAAAAAGAAAAAAAATGCAATGCACATATGAATTTTCTCGAGGATATGGGACGGGTGTCTCAGAGGCAATTGGAAATTGGGGATTTTCTAATGGAATTGCCAGCCATGGCAATGAACTTCAAAGAATGAATAATATTTCCACAGAAATTGACCGTTTGTAAGTCAACGCATTATTTATAATTGCATTTATTAATATATTTGAAATTGTGACACGTTAAGAATAAAGGTATTTTCGGTATTTTCCTCATTTACTTTCAGTATTTTCAGCAGTGTAGGAAATTGCAAACATAACCTAAAAATTAAGCTATAATGAGGTTTTCTTCGGAATGCGTCACAATTTTCCTTTTATTATTGCAAAAATATGTAAATAGAATATTTTTCCAGACGCAGTCATAGACCTCCAATTTCAGTGAAATACGATTGTAGAAATGATCCCGAGGCGTGGAATGTGATACCAAGTCCCCACGAATGCAAACCAGATTGGACTTTTCCAGAAAAACGACCCCTCATTACGTACAATTCAGTTTGTGAAATTATGAAACGATCGAATATTAACGAAATTAAACCTGAATTGGCTTTTCCGATTCCCGCTCGCAATTATTATATCCAACGAGTAAGTTAAATAACAAAATCAATTATTTTTAATCGTTTTTCATGATTTTACAATTCTCTTTTTATTACAGTCAGACAAGTGGTACAAAAGGGGACCGGAATGTTGTCCACAACCAAGTTGTTCAGCACCTCACTGTAAACGATTTTGCTAACACGCTAACAGAAAATGTTTAAAAATGGAAAAATAAACTCCTACAAGTCAGTAAACAAACATTACAACAATTTATTGAAAATTATTTTAAAAATCACTGAAATGATTAGAAAAATATCTCCGGAAAACAAAACACTAATCCAATGTCAATAGCAACGAACAAAAGAAAATTTCATTAAATAAACATTTCACTTCTTCATATCAAGAACGTTCAATATTTTCGATCATCTTTTTCCAAATTCAACTGAATTAAATTTTATTATAGTTAAATAAATAAATAAATTTAATTAAATTTCACGTGTGATTTGAAATAGAAACCATGCCACCAAAAAAAGAGGACAAAAATAAAGACGAGAAAAATAAAAATGAGAACAATAAAGATACGGAGAAAAAAGACAAGAAGAAAGTGCCTGACAAAATTAAAAAAGTAGGAGAAGGAGTGACAGTTGGAATCGTTGATAAACCGAAAAGATGTATTCCGTGAGTATTTTAATTATTTCATTATAGAAATTAACTCGATTATTATTCTATAAGAAAATTTATGCTAATTGCTTATAAGTGCGGAAAAATTGATATCCTGAAGCAATTTTTTTTTTCGTATTTTAGGGAAACACCAAAACAATTAGAATGCCCTACGCGATCTATTCCTTCTTCTTCCTGTCCGCCACCTAATTGCTGTGAAATTCAAAATTATTATCCAGAAGAAACTCAAGACTGCTCCGCAATGCCGAGTTGTAATCCGAAAAAATGTTGAAACTCTATAAACTCTGAGAGATTAACTTTTTGAATAAAAATGAATCTCTCCTAAATTTATTTATATATTTATTTACTTTTAGAAAGCATTTTACGTATTTTATTTTAATTAATCAATTTTACTTTCTTTATACAAGTTCATAAATATAAAAAAATTTCATTTTTTTACCATTAGGAAAAAAGAATAAAAAAGACAAATATTTGCAAATTTTTCAAAATATAAACAAAGACTCACCGATTGTTGACTTTTTCCAGAATTTCCATTTTAAAGTCATTTTCGAAAGTTTTTTTTCTCACACTGAATTTACAGTTTTCCATTCCTCGTGTAATTTTCATATTTTCCACCTAAAAATAAGTTTTCAATTAAATAAAGTGAAATATTAATGTTTAAATAATAATTTTTTGATTAAAAAGGAAAATAAGTTATTCTTGATTTTGAAAAAGTGATAAATACCAATAAATTAAAATTTATTAGGTAAAGAGCTGACACAAACTCATTTTCTTCATCATGGAGTCATGGAGATGAGTGAAAAAGTGAGGTTAGAAAACAATATTCAAACAAATACAAAAAAGTTCAAAATGTTTTCCAATTTTCAAGAAAAAAAATTACATTTTAACAATTTAGTTTTATGTCAATATACGGTCATTACTCAATTTAAGGAGGAATGGGACATAGAATGTGACAAAAAGTTAATGACGTTTAGGCTTCGTCCATAAATTACGTCACACGTTTTTAGCCCATTTTTGACCCCCTCCCCCCCTTTGTCACACTACGTAACATCTGAAGGAACCCCCTCCCTCTAAATTACGTCACAATTCGTAAACCCCCCTTTAAAAAATTTTTCCAAAATGAATCACTGTCATTATCTAATTTTACATAAATAAAGTTACTTATAGGATATAATTAGTAAATTTAAAAAAAATTTTAAAACAAGAAATTTATTTGATATTACTTCCTCATAGATGCTACAACGTTGCCACGTTTTTATGTGCAAATGTCAAAAATCTTGTGTTTTTCTACTTTTTATATTATTTTCTTTGTTATAGTCAGAAAGTATATAAAAGTTTAATTATTTATTGAAGCTGACATATTGAACTTCAATATATATTTGAGACAAAAAAAGTTGACATCTGGAAATATCATTTTTATGTTTAATAAGAACCGAGTATTTGAATTCTCCATAAGAGTAGACTATGTGTTAATATTAATAAATTTATAACTTTTAAACTATTCAGACAAAAATTTTCAAACTCTGTGAGCTGTTTTATAATATTATTAGAAACTCATTCCCAAAATTTGAAAAGTTTCTGACATTTTTTAATGTGTGTCCCATTAACAGCAAGTAACAATACACAAAAATTCAGAGAAAATCGAAAAGTGGACAAGTTGAAATGATTCACACAGCGTTTGCATAATGTAAGTTATTAGAACCAATAATTTTTTTACAAACAACAATTTTGATTTTGCCAAAAAATACTATTTACCCGAATATTTTCACACAATACAAGAAAAATCTTATTTTTTATTATTAAAAAATCAGACGCGACTATCCTACAAATTACAATCCACCACTATAACCGGAAGATTGGTTTACCAACCAATCAAAATGCCCATTGGAAATTTCCTCGAATCACAATCTAGAGAAGTTGCAAGTTACCCAACCCTGCCTGCAATCTAATTGGTCAACGAACAAGTCAGCTGTTTTCTAGTTCTTTCTAGAGAGTTTTTTTAGTTAATAGAGAAAATCGCAGAGGTGCAGCACTTACATCACGTGAGTTTGGCACTAGAGAGAGAGAGAAGCAGAAGACGAAAAGCAATCAAAAAGTCGACAATGAAGGTGTAGTTAATCAATTTTGTGAAGTTTTTTTAAGAACATCCGCTTTCTGGAGATAGTGATTTGTTAAGTAGGTAATAATTATTAATTGTATTAATTGTAAAATAATAAGAAGTAAAATTTACAAAAGGGTACTTGGATTTAATTAAATATTGACAGTATCTCTAGTATGGGCGGTAGCAATATTTTTGTATCAATTTTGTTTTAGATACGACAATTTCTTGAATATAGTCTTTTCCAAACTAAATAACTAGTTTTTCTTTGGGTTGAATTTAAAGGAGCGAATTATTGACAAATTTTTGTATTTTCGAAAATGTAAATGATTCGTGTGCGCATTAAGTATGTGCACTGCGATTATTGATTTTGTCAATTCTTTTACGCCATTGTAAGACTTTATTGATGTTCCCTTTTATGTCCTTATGTCAATAAATTAACTCTTTGGTTAGTAACGCAATGTTCGCAACAAAAAATATTTTCCCTGCTCATTTTTTGTTTGATTTCTTGGAGAAATTAAATTTTTTAAATTGATGACTTCTCGTTAAAGTACTGCACACAGTACATTCTTGTATTGTCAGTCAGATGACTTGAGTTCTCATGTCACGTGGAATAAACGCGCCTACTTATGTAATATATTATACTTCTGCCACACCTCCTCTAATATTTAACTTAAATCAATAATATTTTTATTTCAATTGAAATATTTCTTCTTATTTCTCCCTCTTTCATAGTTTTTCTCTTCTTCATCTGTCATGACACGAAATATGTTTCGTTTTCTAGCAACTCTCATGAGAATGTTGAATTCGTAAATTTTTCTTCTCAAATCGTAAATGTCAATTAAAACAATAATTCTAATTTAAATTTTCTTTCTACAGGTGTGTAATTAAAAATTGCAAGGTACTAAAATGACGGAGTATTGGTTGATATCGGCACCAGGTGACAAGACCTGTCAACAAACATGGGAGACATTGAATAATTTGACGTCAAAACAAAATTCTTTGTCCGATAATTACAAATTTCACATTCCTGATTTAAAAGTCGGGACATTGGATCAACTGGTAGGTTTATCGGACGATCTTGGTAAGCTCGATGCATTCGTCGAGCAGGTAACACGTAAGGTGGCAACCTACTTGGGTGAGGTTTTAGAAGATCAAAGGGACAAATTGCACGAGAATTTAATGGCTAATAACAGTGAGTAATTTTGCAAATTTTTACAACTTTCTTCATTTTGGCTTTAAAATTTGTAAACCAATTTTTTATATTTCCATAAATAATAAATCTTTATTTCCCTTTTTACTTTTGTTGCATCAGCAGAAAATAAAATTTATACAGTAGGCGGGAGTTGAAAAAATAAAATCGAAATTAAATAATTGTTCGTTTATTATTTTTTTTAATATTGTTATAATTATAAAACAGAAGTGAAAAGAAAAGGAAGGAAAGAAAATTTAATTGAATAAAAATGTTAAGAAAAAAATTTAATTTTATTTCGACTTGTATTTTTTCTAACTCTTGCATTCAGATGATTGACGTTATGTGTATGATGTCTTAGAAATGTCACTTTTAGAATTAACATTACAAAATATAAATGATACTAAACACGACACAAAAAAACACAAATATACACTTAATCAAACTTTTCCCCGATAAAGATATTTAATTTAATATACAAGTTGTTATATTGGTTTGTCGGAGGTAATGACTTCAACATGTCAGTAATCATTTTTTATAAAATTTCTTTCGTTATTCTTATTCATTTCGAGTTTCGAATTTCGATTAAAATCAAAAATTATACCAACAAATATTTATAAAGAAAAAAGTCAATTACATGAAGTGATAAATTATTCTTTTCTCATTTTATTTAATTGGAAAAATGCTTTTTACTTTATTTATATTTTATCGATTACTTAAATTACTTTCCCCCAATGAAAGTAAAAAGTGTTTCTGTGTTTAACCAAAGAAGAGAATAAATCAATATTTAATTTTGTTTATATTTTATTCAAATTAATTATATGAAAAAATACTGGAAAAAATTTTTGTGTCAAGTTAAATTCTAAAAAAAATGCATCAAATTGTCTAATGACTCGTTGCTGATGAATTATTTTCGAGGGAATAAATAGAAATTATTTTCAAAAAATTAATCCCTCTTTTAGAGAAAAAATTGTTGTTCTAAATTTTTATTCTATTTTTATAGAAAAGATAATTTTATTCTAAATAATTTTTATTTTATTTCTGTAGGAAAAATAATTTTTATTCTACTTCTACAGAAAAAATAATAATTTTATTATGAATAATTTTTATATTCCATTTTTTATAGAAAAAAAAAATTTTTATTCTATTTTTATAGAAAAAATAATTCTTATTCTATTTTCATAGAAAAAATAATTTTTATTCCATTTTTTTAAATTAAATTAATAATTCATACTAAAAACAAAAATTTATTTATTCTGATTCTAAAATATATCTATAATTTTCAAAATGAGCCAGATAAGTAAAAAAATGTCAAGTTTGGTAAACGAGTCTAATACGACATTGGATGTAAATTTGTTTAAATTAAGAGAATTTTCACGATCTCTTTATTATAATGCTTATTAAATTATTTTTCTTTCTAAAAATCTCTTGATTTCATTTTTTTTATAATAATTTTTTCTTACATTGTGGACATTTTCTGTTTTTATTTTCGTTTGTTTTTTGGTAATTTGTGTTGTGGCTTTGCTTGCTTTCTTTTAATTTGGACCACATTAACCCTCTCCTTTTACCCTATTCGTTGTTTATTAACAATATTGCTCATACACGTGCACTGCCTAACTTTTGTATTAAAAATTTTTATATAACTATCGATTTTCAAAAGGCATATGTGCAATAAATAACAAATTTTTAATAATAAGAAAAAATAGAACGCGAACGAATCTATCGAACGAGGATTTATTAAATTGTTGATTATTATTATTATTTTCACAAAAAAAAAAATTTCAACTGAGAATTATGAAAGACCACACAAAGAATTATTTAATCAAAAATACAAATTACATGTATCTTCAAATGTGACGAATGGATGACAATTTTTAAAGAAAGAAAAAAGAAAAAAAAGAAGCTTGGGTTACTGTGGTCACCAAGCTCCAAATTAGTCACTGCATAGGTTTTTTTGATTTTTTATTATATCAGAAATTATCAATTCTTTTTATTTTGCTGAATATTTTGTTTGCGTTTTATGTATTATTTCAAGCAATTTGTTTTTTGTTTCTTTAATTTTCAATTATTTCTGTTATTTTATTATTATCGCTTCATTATCCATCATTTTTCCATCGTTCTTTATTATTTATTATTATTTGTCACTTATATTTTTTCTTTGATTTTATTTTTAACGTATGCTTATTTTCAAGATTTTTTCATCTACTTGTTTCAGAGTATTTCATAACATAAATTGTACATTTAAAAAATTTGAAAACTAAAATTGAAAATTTCTAAAGTAATAAAAAAAAGTAATTTCTATCAATAAAAAGTATAACAGTATTTCGTTAAAATGAAGGTAAGAAAATTATTGAGGGAATTAATTATTAATTAATTAATATACTATACTATTAATTAATTTGTTAATTTTAATAATTAAGTAGTAATTAAATTATACTATTAAATAATAATTTGTCAGTTTTAACAATTAATTAGTAATTTAATAATACTATTAATTAATTTGTTAATTTTATTAATTAATTAGTAATTCTATAGTACTGTTAATTAATTAATTTTAATAATTTAATAATACTATTAGTTTTAACAATTAATTAATAATTTTAAATACTATCAATTAGTTAATTTGTTAAATTTAATAATTAATTGGTAATTCAATAATACTGTTAATTAATTAATTAATTTTAATAATTTAATAATTTTAAAACTATAAGCACAAACATTTTGTAGCATATAATTATGAGTAATAATAAATTAAATGTAGCTAAAATTTTTACATGTTTAATTAAATAAAAAAAAACAAATTAAGTCACAAAAAGTGATTTAAATAGCTTTTTGGTATTTTCTTTTTATTTACAAAAAAAATTATTAATAAAAATTTATTTTTCACATTATATCAATGGGTCATTCCACTCGAGCACATTTTGGAGCATGCATTAATAATAATTATTGCATAAGTAAAGAATAATCCATTGAAATATTTATGTGTCTTCGTTGATTTATTTTTGAGCCAAAAATTTGAAAATTAAAAATAAAATTCGAAAAATTGAATAATTCTATTAAAGGAAATTATTTCCTACTTTTAAGAGAGAATAGGAGTTTTTGTGGTTGACGAATTTAAATAAATGTACACATTTCCAAAATTTTTCTCTGAGCCAATTCTCACAATCTTAATATTGTATTGTTACATCTGAACGGCAGTCTGTAAATAAAAATTATTGTTGGATAATTTAAACCGAATTGTAAAATTGCAAAATTGGGATTAAATTAATTTTTACTTTCTCAAAAAATAAGACAGTCTTGAATTTGTTTGTCGCAATAAGAAGGGAAAAGAGTTTTTGGCCCATTATGAAGTTCTTAGGATTTTTTTTTTAATTAATTTTTTTGATTTTGCTTCCGGAAGTAATGAGGAAACTTCTTTAGTTTTAGTATTTTCAGGCCTGGGATATTATAACTTTTTTGACTTTTTTCGACATATTTTAAAAAATTGCAACTTTTTCTACTTTTCTTAGAAATATTGTAACAAAATACAAAAATTTTTCAGTATAAAATGCAACTTATTTTGATTTGTATAGTGTGAAAAAAAACTGTAGACAAATGTTACAAAAATTATTTTTGAATAAATTTTCTAATTAAATTTTCGAAATATACAATTAAAAAGATTTTGAATAAGTGGGATTTTGTAAAATTTAATTGAAAATAATTTATTTTTTTCAAATATTTTATTACAATTTTTAAAAATTAACTTTTGAAGAATTTTAATTGCAAATTTTGTAAATAATAGAATTTTCCAAAATTTTAATGAAAAATCTCCATGTGTAAACTTAAAAATGAAAATTAACGGAAATTGTATTAAAACATTTCTGAAAAAAGTAATTCTTACAATTTTTTTATTCTAAATTTTTAGTATTCAATTATTTTTAATATTTTCAATTACATATTTACGAAAATTTAAAATTTTTGCAAAAATAATTACTGTCAAACGTTTCTGCTCATTTGGGAGCCTTCCTCAGTGACAGTTTTTTTCTGTAAAAAATTTATAACTTTTTTACAACGAACAGTAAATGAAACAATGATAATTATCTTATAATTTTAATGATTAATAACAGAAACACGAATAAAAATAATTACGATATAAATTTTTAGAATTATTTGTAACATTTTGGAGAAAATAATTATGTTCAAAATTTTAGTTAAAATTCTTCAAAAAATTAATTAGTTTTTTTAAATTATACAAAAATTCTTTTAATGAAATTCAATTATTTTTGAAAAATAACATTACAATATTTTCAAAAAACTAATTCTTAGAATTGTTTTTTGATTATTTTTAAAACTCAATTATCTTCGATAAATTAATTGAATTTTAGAAGAATTGCATTTATAATTTTTAGAAATTATTAAATTTCAGAAGGTTTTACATTGAAAATATTTTGAAATTTGAATTTATGTGGACAAATAGATAACAATAAGTATTTAATTATTTATTTAACAGAAATTATTTAAATTTGAAAAACTTAATTTAGAAATCCTGAAAAAACGAAGTTTTTGAAAAATTGTATTTATAATTTTTCGAAGAAAGTTGAATTTCCGAAAATAATTTGAAAAATTGAAAGAATTGGAAATTTTCTATTTTTAAATTTTGTCAAATTTTATTAAAATATATTTTAAAGAATTTTATTTTTTCACTTTTAAAAATTATTTTGAAATATAATTGTATTTTTTAAGCATTGAAACTAAAAATTTGAAAAAAAATTGAATTTTACTCAAATTTTTGTATTTAAATAATTTAAATTTCGTAAGTTGAATTCTGCTAAGAATAAATTTTTAAAAAATTTAGTTGAAATTCTAGAAAATAATTGAATAATGGAAGCGTTATAACGGAAATTTTAACAAATAATTGGATTTTAAAAGGTTCTTAAATTGAAATCTTTGAAAAATTTTCATCCCTGTAAAAGTATTATAATATTTAAATGTTTATTATAAAAAATTATTAATATATTATTTTTCTATAGAAATTATTAAAGTTTTGAGTAATAATTTTATTGAAATTTTAATTCCTGTGGAAAAATAAAAATCATTATGAGTAGAATTGAAATATTAAATTGACAAAAGTATTTAAGTCTTTTGAATAATTTAATTTCAAAATTCTGAAGAATTCTGAAAAATTCTAGAATTTCTGCAAAGAATTTAATTAAAATTTCCAAAAGTATTTAAATATTCTTTCGAGAATATTGAAAATAATTGAATTCATATGTAGAATTTTATTGTTTATAAAACTAATTGAATTCTGGAATTTTATTCCAAGTTTAGTCAAGAATTTTATTTCAATTTTTAAAAAATAATTGAATTCTTTCAATAATATTGAAAATAATTGAATTCTAGTGGAGAATTTAATTATTTATATTGACAATAATTGAATTCCAGCGAAGAAGTTATTATTTTCGAAAATAATTGAATTTCAGAGGATTTGGAACTGAAATTGAAGTTAAAAATTTAAACTCCTTGGAATAACAAATAAGAAAGTATTGAAATATTTATTTAACAAAATTATTCAAGTTTTGAATAAATTATTTTAGAATTTAGATCACGGTGAAGTTCACAACTTTTATAATCAACGATTTAGAAAAAAGATATTTTTCTTTTGAAATACATATAGATTTTTGTACATATAAAAAATGTTTGTCTTAGCTTTTTTGGTCAATAATTTACAAAAAAAATATTTTTAAACAAGAAATTTTATTGTTTTTGACAAGGAAAATATTTTTTTTCTTTCAATGATTGATCATAATCTATGTGAACTTCACTGACGTGAATTTAGAAAAAAACACTAATTTAGAAATTAGTGAAAAGGGAAAATCAGGGAAATAGAAAATAAAATTGTTGTGACAACACAGAATTAAATAAAGGACTTTTTTTGCCTTTTTTGTATTTTTAATCGACTGAAGCGATTTTTTTTTGACCTTAAAGTCGATCCGAGGTCTGAACTCTTCTCTATTTTGGTTTTTTCTTTAAAGCATTAAATGAAGCATTAATTTTTTGTTTAGACTCCCAAGGATAGTAGCAAGCAATTGGAGATTGTTGAGTCTTTTGAAAAATGTAAAAGAAATATTTTGTGGCAAAGGAAAGAGAAAGCAAGAAAATGGTATAAGGTACTCTGAGACATAAAAAGTTTTCTTGAGTTGTTCGTTTCGGTTTTGTCGGCATTGTTAAGCATTTGCGTAGGATGCAAAATATTAGTTGAGCGAGTCGTGTAAGAATGATCGCGAGGAGATTGGGACTGGGCTGTGATGGATAGGTCAGACGTCAATGGACGGAGAGAACACGAGCCCCGATGGGGGCATCGACACACCGCCAAACACACCAGTTACACCTTCACACAAGACCTTCAGGGACCATCATCATCATCACAGGCAGTGGAGGGACTCGGATAAATCAGAACCAGAACCAGGAGCCTGTCTAGGTCAGCATCAATATCATCATCGTCAGCATCATCATCATCATCGCCACAACCATCACAATCACAATCATCATCACCAAAACCATTATTCCAATTCTGAAAAAAAGACATCAACCAGTTCCCAAGGCGCCTGTGATGTTCGAACAACATCAAATGATTCGTCATCGATGTATTCGTGCTATCATGCGCATTGGTGCTCTGCTGCTGCTTCTTCAACTCCATCAACTCCTTCCCTAAGTCCCACTAGGGCAAGTTCCTCTCTCTCCTTTTCATCCAACTGTAGCAGTGATGAAGATGCGAGATGGCAACAACATCATCGGAACAACACTGGCGGACGACGATCGACGTCCTTTATTGATGACGACCCACATCATCATCATGATGATGATGATGAACTGGATGCTGACAATCTCGACACTGAGGACCAAGACGACAATCAAGATCAAGAACAAGAACATAGTGGCAATTTGCCAAATCCAGGTACCCGTCCCTTCACCACCTTCTCAAAAAAAAACAACAACAACAATTCCCTTTTATCGTCTACGTGAAAAACAGAAACAAACAGAACAAACAAAAAAAATACAAATTTATAATCCCTCCTTTGTTCCTGACAATATATATCAACTGCTGACAGTCAAAAGCAGTTTGCCTACGTAATTCCTATTTGCACCGTGGACGATCTCATTTTAGCTTTTAGCTATTTACCAGTTTCCAACAGTTGATCATAATCGTCCCAATATTATACTTTCTTTTTTTTAATACAAACTACAATAATAGAAACGTGAACGAGAGATTAAATTACTATTTTTTTCACTGTAAATAATAAACCAATAAAATTCACTACGGGGAAAAAAGAAATAATTTAGTACTATTGGAGTGAGACCTCAACTGGTTTTTTTCTGCACATTTCTGTAATGATAATTTTACAATTAACCGAGTAAATTTTACTTTATTAGAGTCATTTATGATCCGGAAAAATCGACAAAAGAGTAAACTTATACGCAGTGGGAAATGAGAAAATTTTTTTCTTGTCCCAGAATTTAAAACAATTTTAATTGAAAAATTAATCAGTAGTAGAATTTATCACTCGGTAAAAGATAATTTAAATTATCCAGGAAATTATCAATCCTCAATGTTTTGATTGATAATTTTCTTGATATTTTATATTAATTCAAAAATTGATTATATTCTGCTTCTACAAAAGAAAATTTATTAAATTTTTATTAGAAATAATGGACTTTCTTCAAAATATTGTATGAAAAATTTTGAAAATACAGAATTTAATTGTTTTGAACAATTATATGTATTAAAATTTTTGAAAATAATTGAATTCCATTGAAAAATTTAATTAAAATTTATAAAAGCAATTGAATTTCAGCGAAGAATTTTATTATTAACGAAAATAATTGAACTCTGTTGAAAAATTTTATTAAAGTTTTAAAAAATAATTGTTTTCCTTTGAGAATATTGAAAATTATTGGATTTTTACAAATATTTTAATTAAAATTTTCAAAAAATATTTATATACTTTCGATTGAAAATAATTCAATTCTTTCGAAGAATTTTACACAAACTTTTGAACATAATTAATCTTCTGCAAAAAAATTTATTAAAATTGATAAAAATAATTGAATTCTTTAAAAAAATATATATAAAAATATTGTATTGTTTTTACTATAAATTTTAGTTTAAATTTTTAAAATAATTGAATTCTTTCGAAGAATTTTATTAAAATTGTAATTGAATTATTTCGAAGAAATTTATTACAGTTTATAAAAATAATTAAACTCTTCAGAGAAATTTGGTTTAAATTCAATTAGAAATAATTGAATTCCTGACAAAAATTTCTTTATTAATGAGAATAATTGAATTCTTATAAATAAATTTCATCTACATTTTTGGGAATAATACAATTCTTTTGAAGAATTTTATATAAATTGTTGAAAATTATTGAATTTGTGCTAAGAATTTTATTAAATCTTTTCAAAATAATTTAATTCTGCGTAGAATTTTATTATTTATGAAAATAATTGAATTTTTGACAAGAATTGTATTATTTACTAGCTGTCGTACCCGTCTTCGACGGGTTTTAGTTTCTACCAATACATTTAACAATGTTTCTACCAATCTGGAAAATCAGAAAAAAGCCGAAAATTTAATTTGACCGGAAAATTAATAATTAGTTACCAATAGCTATTTTGGTAGTATAATATTTTTACTATTTGAATAGTCTTCACCTTTTAGCAAAAAATAAAAAATTATCAAAAATTTGAAAAACCCAATTTCTTAAAATTTAACATTTTTTTCTTCTCTTTTATATCATTAAGCTTCATTATTTTTGTGTTCTTAAAAAATAATTTACTTATTTAAAAGTCTTCAATGTTTAGTAAAAAATCTAAAATTATGGAAAATTAGCAAAAATTCAAAAAACCGAATTTCTTAAAATTCAACATTTTTTCTTCTCTTTTATGGCATTTAGCTTCATTATTTTTGTGCTCTTCAAAAATACTTTACTTAATTTGTTATCTCTACTCTTTGGTAAAAAATCTATAATTATGGAAAATTAGCAAAAATTCTAAAAACCGAATTTCTTAAAATTCAACATTTCTTCTCCTCTTTTATGGCATTTTGCTTCATTATTTTTGTGCTCTTCAAAAATAATTTACATATTTAATAGTATCCACGCACCCTTTGGTAAAAAATCTAAAATTATGGAACATTAGCAAAAATTTAAAAAACCGAATTTCTTAAAATTCAACATTTTTCCTTCTTTTTTATTGCATTTAGCTTTAATATTTTTGTGCTCTTCAAAAATATTTTACTTATTTAATAGTCTCCAACCTTTGGTAAAAAATATAAATTATGGAAAATTAGCAAAAATTCAAAAAACCGAATTTCTTAAAATTCAACATTTTTCCTTCTTTTTATTGCATTTAGCTTTAATATTTTTGTGCTCTTCAAAAATATTTTACTTATTTAATAGTCTCCACCCTTTGGCAAAAAATCTAAAATTATGGAAAATTAGCAAAAATTGAAAAAACCGAATTTCTTAAAATTTAACATTTTTCATTCTTTTTAATTGCATTTAGCTTTAATATTTTTGTGATCTTCAAAAATGTTTTACTTATTTAATAGTCTCCAACCTTTGGTAAAAAATATAAATTATGGAAAATTAGCAAAAATTCAAAAAACCGAATTTCTTAAAATTCAACATTTTTCCTTTTTTTTATGGCATTTAGCTTTATTATTTTTGTGCTCTTCAAAAATATTTTACTTATTTTATAGTCTCCACCCTTTGGTAAAAAATCTAAAATTATGGAAAATTATCATAAAATATTTATTATAAAACATCTCCATTTTTAAAGTCTCTGAAATTCTTTCAATTAAAGAATACTGAATGAATTGGATAAATAATTATGAATTGCATTATTTCGACTTTAAAATCCTAATCAGAGACCTTAAAAATACTACTGAATTAAACTTGATAGTAATTAATAACAATTATAATTTTTTCGATTTTTTGATATCGAAAATATTTTTATACTTACATCTTAGTCATATCATTTTTTGTGCAAAATTATGCGAAAATGTGACTAAATAACATGTAATACTTAATTATAGATAGTTTAAAAGCAGTCCATTAAGAAATATAAAATTTGGAAATTTGCGATTTTTTGAATTTTTCGAAATCATTTTTATACTTACGTCTTAGTTATAGGACAGTACTTTTTTAAAAATTATGCTAAAATTTGACTAAATAACATGTAATACTCAATTATAGAGAGTTTAAAAGCAATTTATTAAAAATTATAAAATTTAAAAAATTTCGATTTTTTGAATTAAAAAAAAAAAAATTATACTTACATCTTAGTTATAGGACATTATTTTTGGCAAAACTATTCTAAAATGTGACTAAATAACATGTTATACTCAATTATAGAAAGTTTGAAAGCATTTTTTAAAAAAATGTAAAATTTAAAAATTTTTGAATTTTGAATTTTTCGAAAAAATTGAATATCTCCCGTTCTAATTAATATTTTTCAAATCTGTAAATTTATAAACCTTCCTTGGCCCAAGGTCTAACATTCTGTCAAATTTGGTTTCAAATGGTTCAGCAGTTTTTAAGTGATGCGCGAACAAAGATTCTGTGACATACCGACACACATACATACATACATACATACATACACGAAATTTTTTATTGGTATATTTGGAATCCTTGATGCCTAAAACGAATAATTATGTGCGAAATTTAAAGTTCTGAGCAATGTACAGACAAAAGTCTGATTTTATATATATATAGATAATAATAATTTGATTCTTAAGATGAATTATATTGCAATTTTTGAAAATAATTGAATTGTTTCGAACAATTCCTGGAAATTTTAGAAAATAATTAAATTCTTTCGAGGAGTATAATTAAAATTGTATTAAAAATAATAGAATTCGTATAAACAAATTTTAACTACATTTTTGAAAGTAATAATTTTCATTTTTATTTTATTTAATTTTTGAAAGTAATTAAATTTTTTAAACATAATTGACCTCTGCGAAGATTTTAATTATTTATGAAAAAAATTTAATTTTTGTGCAAAATTTTATTAAATTTTTTGAAAATAATAAATAATAAGAATTAATTAGTTTATAGGTGAAGTTTTTAAAAATTTAAATGGTAAAAGTTGGGAAGCAGAAATGTCCGAAATTCCTGTCAGTTGAGGTTTCACTTTGGAAATAATAAAAGTCGCACTCTATTTTTTTTTCTCGTGTTAAATTCTCGTGTTAAAATTCTTTACTTTTTGTAATGAAAATTTCTTTCTCTCTCTCTTTCACGTTTAATCCTTTTCTATTGTGTGCAGTGAATTTTAAAGAAAACACAATCAGTCGGTTCAGCATACTTGGTGTAGTAACAAAAATAATTATTTTTTTGTTTTGAATGCCAAATTAAAACGACAATATAAATTACCGAACAAGAGAAACTGTTTTTTTAAATTAAAAAAAAAATTATTATTATTATATATTTTCTCGATGAAAAATAATTCTAATCTCGACAGAAAATACTTTTATTCTAATATATCCTCGTTCTGATAGATCGTCTTTTTCTTAACAGAAAAAGAAATAATAATTTTTTTCAGAGAAAAAAAATTAGGTTTATTGCAAATATATACATACTCAATAAAATTGTCAATCAAATACGCTCAATCGACTGTTTATATACATATATAAATATGTAATATATATATAGTATAATATATATATAGTATGTGTATGTGTGTGTGGCACAGTCCTGAATATTGTTTTACACAATCCTTTGCTTCGCTTCCTTCGTTTAATATAATATATAGGGGAGACTGGGGCGAAAAGTTAAATTGTGAAAACAGTTAAAATTCATTATCTTTCGAACGAAAATAGTTAGAGCATTGCAATTTTAATTATAGAAGGGTTTTATCACCCTAAATAAATGTCCGGAGTTGTGTGCAATT